ACGTCGAAAAGCTGCAATCACAACAGACAGCCAGCGCTTTCTCTACTCGACTCTCACACCTCCTCTCAGAGAGCACTCTTCCACAAACCGACATATGCTAGCAGTGGAACCACATTTCCCGCTCATTAAGTACCGCCGCCGAAGAAGTAGTCGGATTTCAGCGAGCCCGAAAGAACAACTGGTACGATGAGGAGTGTCAGGAAGCTGCAGAGAAAAAAGATGCCGCCTACAGGGCCACGCTGCGATCGGGCGCAACGCGCGCTATGTGGGACCGCTATAGGGATCTGAAGAGGGAAGCGAGACGTATTTGCCGCAATAAGAAGAGAGAGGCAGAAATACGTGAGTGCGAAGAGCTTGAAATGCTGGCCAACAGGAGGAATGCCCGGGGCGCACTCCTGTAAGGACAATAATGTGACCTAGTAACTGATGTACAGAGCGTACTTAAATTATGGAGGGAACACTTTTGCGCCCTACTAAATGGTAGCAGCACGGAAAGTTGTGGAGAAGAACCCGAGCCCACAGTCGGTGATGACGGAGTCGACGTTCCACCGCCTGACTATGACGAGGTACGTATAGCAATAACGCCGGCTGAAAAAGAACAAAGCCGCTGAAGCTGACAGCCTGCCAGCTGAGCTATTCAAGTACGGCGACGAGGAGTTGAAAGGTGCAGATGAACGCATGTCCGACGACTGGAATTTAAGTGTGCTCTGCCCAATCCACAAGAAAGGTGACAAGGCCTTATCGAGCGTATTGTGTGAAAGACTGAAGCCCACCGTCAATGAACTGATTGGGCCTTATCAGTGTGGCTTTAGACCTGGCAAATCCTTCGTAGACCAGGTATTCACAATACGCCAAATCTTGGAAAAGACCCGCTAGGAAAGGATCGACACTCACCACCTATTTGTCGTCTTTAAAGCCGCTTTTAACAGCACTAAAAGGAGTTGCCTATACGCCGCTATGTCTGAATTTGGCATCCCCTCAAAACTCATACGGCTGTGTAAAATGACGTTGAGCAATACCACCAGCTCCGTCAGAATTGGAAAAGACCTCTCCGAGCCGTTCGCCACAAAACGGGGTTTCAGACAGGGCGACTCCCTTTCATGTGACTTCTTTAATCTGATGTTGGAGAAGATAATAAGAGCTGCAGAACTGAACCGCTCAGGAACAATTTACTGACATCGATATCATCGGTATTCTTATGCCGATGACATCGACATCATCGGTAACAAAAACCGCGAAGTCTGTTCTGCCTTTTCCAAGTTGGATAGGGAAGCAAAGCGCATGGGTCTGGTGGTAAACGAGGACAAGACGAAGTATCTCCTGTCATCAAACAAACAGTCAGCACATTCGCGCCTTGGCACCCACGTCACTGTTGACAGTTACAATTTCGAGAAAGTAGAGAATTTCGTTTACTTGGGAACCAGCATTAACACCGATAATAATGTCAGCATTGAAATCCAACGTAGAATCACTCTTGCCAACAAGTGCTACTTTGGACTGAGTAGGCAATTCAGGAGTAAAGTCCTCTCTCGACGTACGAAAACCACGCTCTATAAGTCACTCATCATGCCCGTGCTGGTATATGGCGCAGAAGCATGGACAATGACAACATCCGATGAGGCGGCTCTTGGGGTGTTTGAGAGAAAGATTTTGCGGAAGATTTACGGTCCTTTACGCGTTGGCGACGGCGAGTACCGCAGACGATGGAACGATGAGCTGTATGAGCTTTACAACGATATGGACATAGTGCAGCGAATTAAAATACAGCGGCTCCGCTGGCTTGGTCATGTCGTTCGAATGGACACCGACGCTCCAGCTCTGAAAGTATTCAACTCGGAACCCGCTGGTGGTAGCAGAGGAAGAGGGAGGCCCCCACTGCGATGGAAAGATCAGGTGGAGAAGGACTTGGCTTCACTTGGCGTTTCCAATTGGCGTCAGTTGGCACAGAGGAGAAACGACTGGTGTGCTTTGCTGAACTCGGCCAAAATCGCTAGGCGGTTACAGCGCCAAAAAAGAAGAAGAAACTAATGTCAAGCAAATCACTTTACAGTATAGTTGGTGGCAATTTCAAAATGCCACCAGACGAAATACCTTTAAAGCTTAAACGCATAATAATATTGGAAATTGCCTTTTTTAAGATATTTTTTTTTTTTTTTTTTTTTT